AACGTCAGCTTTTGCTTCGAAGGAATCAAAAAGAATGTATTGTCTTTCTGTAACACGTTGCAGGAAGATGACGAGAAGTGAGAAAGGTAAACTGCTGTCTCGTCATCATCATCATCATCATCATCATCATCATCATCATCATCATCATCATCATCATCATCATCATCATCATCATCATCATCATCTTTGTCTTCATTGTCACCGTTGTCACCATTGCGATCGGAGCTGAAAAGAACTAATTAAATGTTAGACTTGCCATTTTTTTAAAGCTGATGGAAAGTTTTCCTGCTGTTGAATTTGAGCAAACAGAAATATTGCTCTTTGGATTTTCAGTTTGGGTGGAGTTGTCAAGTGACACAGTCTCTACTGTTTTTTCTGTTTCTTTATCGAATATATTGTATTTTAAATAAGTGTGGCCTTCTTTTAAAGCTAATATGGAAAAACATATCAAGAAAACTAAGAAGTAAGTTTTAAATGTTCAAAATAACATTTACATAAAAAGTGGTCCTTCCATTTTTCTTCGTTTACACCCAAGAATTCAAAAAATGAAGACGGGAAAGAACGAGAGAGGGATTTTTGAGGGGAGGGGGAGGGGAGGGTTCGAGGCAGCAGACACATTACTTTTACTTTTTTCGTCATTATCTGGTTTGATCTATTACATGGCTTGCTCGATGATGTACTAATTATACCCTAATTTTATCGTAATATAACGGCCAAATAAGGCTATTCTCACTGGTGACACATTTTACCAATCGCGCAGAGGAAGAACGGGAATGCTCCATGTTATGATCCTGTGAAGAATAAAAGACAGTTTTCTACAATTAGTTTCTTTATACGGTGACTACCTCTCTCCACTTGTGTCTTTATATTAATTTCACCAATCAGTTTTCATTAGCACATTTCAGTAAATATTGAATCATGACAGCACCCCCTCCCTCCACCCGCTAAGTAATTAGCTAAATGTAGGCTCAGAACTGCCACGGAATCCCGGTTGGAAAAGTTTTTTCTCTAAGCGCTGATTATCGATTGAGACAGAAATGACGGAGAAAATGCAATTATTTCTTTTATAGACCAGACGGGTTGACTGAAGCAAATTCTGGTCAGTCTAAAAGTTTTGACACTCAGGCGAACACTTTCTTTTAAGCAAAGATTAAGCATGGGATTTAGTCTACAGGATATATTCACACACGCTCACACACCCACGCACCCACACACCAACCAGCCTACACGCACGAAAAACCCAGGTGAATGCACGCACAAAGGCACGGATAATCAGATGAAAACACACGTAAACAAAGAATCAGTAAGTAAATAATCTGTTATAAGATATCTGTTTTTCTGTCGCCTTTTCCCTTACAGCACTCGCGGCTCCAACTACGTTCTCAACTGACTGTGAACGCGAACCCAACAATAACGACAACTGCACTCGTGACGGAATATCCAACGAAGATTTCCTTGCCTCTCTCGGTTACGGCTGAAAAGGACGTAAAATTCAAGCCCAAAAGTTTGTCGTACAGGAATACGTTTACAGAACAACGATGTCTCCAGATCGTTTGCAGACAAGGGAGGCGACCCTTGGTAAAGCGAGGTCTAAGTAAGAGTTGTCATTGTCACTGGACACCCGCAACGTTCCGGGGGTGTGTTGCCTTTTAAAAGATGTGGACTTGTTGCATTGATATGATAAAATACCAGAATGCATAATTTGATTTTCGATGAGGTTGCAAACCCAGGCAGATTGGAGGGGGTTGTTCTATGAACCGGAAGGAGTGGATTGATATCCTCTTTGCCTAGCAACGGGAGTCACCCAGGAAGTATGTGAAAGGTAAGTTCGAGCAAACAGCAGGCTAGACATGTGCATGTAGGTCATACCTGATGAGTGTGTGTGTGTGTGTGTGTGTGTGTGTGTGTGTGTGTGTGTGTGTGTTTGTAGGTGCAGTTGTGGATGAGCGCATTTTAGTGATTAAAATTAAAGCTTGGCTCATGAAATCCAACCCGTTTTTCCAAGGGACGTTTCACAGTTCTCTGAAATTGAATAACTTCATTCCTATCACAAAAGGCTGATAAGACGCAATATCACCTCTTAAATCTTTGTTAATCTTTGTGGGTTCCAGGGTTCGAGCTGCGGGCCCGATGTTGTGTTCTGGGGAAAGACACTTTAAACGAACATTCCTCACTTCACCCAGGTGGGAATGGGTATCCAGCCATAGACAGCGAAAAATCTAGTCAGTATAATATTAGTGTTTTAGCGCCTATAAATGGCTGCTTGCACTGTACGCTTCCCAGGAAGTTGAGGTTGTTTCAGAATGGTGTCAGGTCTGCTAGTGTAATAATATAGTGAGTGAAGCGCATAGAGCTTGCTGGTGAACGGGGATTTGCGCTATACAAATTATGTTGTCTATTATATTTTATGTATTATTATTATTATTATTATTATTATTATTATTATTATTATTATTATTATTAAAAAGTGGGCTAAACACAACCGAGCCCACCCCCCTTTTTTTCATAAAAAAGTAGCCATTAGCTGTCATTGACTCTTAAACACGCCTTTGAACCGTCCCCTAACAGACGGAACCCCACCTGGTAACACAGTTAGCGCACAAACAAAACCAAACTCTCCTGCGAATGGGGCAAATGATGAAACTACAAGCTGCATTACAGGTCGGTATCATTGTGTTTCTGATATTTCGATTTAATGATTATTTTCGTCAGTTTACTTATCTGCCGGTGTAGCTAGACTAGTGATGATACACTTCTTTTATTATAAAATCATAGATCTAGATCTATATTAGTGACGAAATGGTGTAAAGACTAAACTCAGCGCGCACATGCCAAGACACGTTCAGAAGCTGTGAAGCTAGGTTCGGAAAGAACGTAAATAATCAGAAAAATACCTATCTATCTATCTATCTATCTATCTATCTATCTATCGATCTATCTATCTATCTATCTATCTATCTATCGATCTATCTATCGATCTATCTATCTATCGATCTATCGATCGATCTATTCACCTATACTGTTGCAATGCTCTCCGAACGTATGTTCATTAGCGCGTTTTCCCGGGTGAAAGGTTCATGAACCTGAGTTCTACCACATACGACTGGTGAAAAAGGTACAAAATAACTAAAACAAATGAACACTGCTGTAAGCTACATAACTACAGGTGGTCTAAACAGCGCTTTGGTTTGGGTTGTTTTTACCTTCAAGTTAAAAAAAAAGTGGAATAAGTTATATTTATATACAATGCAATCAACCACGTCAACATCTCAACCACATCTCTTTCATAAGAATGTCAAAACACAACTTACCACCGTCACCCCCACCGTCACTCTACTGTCACCACCACGTTAGCCCTCCCTACCCC